CTGCGATGTGCCACTCGGCGCCTCCCCCGCCGGGCCCGGGCTGCGCGGCGACCGGGCGGCCCTGGTAGCTGAGCGAGCGGTGCGGAGGGTGCTAGCCCGGCGCGCGGGTCTCATTGTTGGGGAGGGGGGGGCCCGTCGGGGCATGAGGGCGAGAGCACGGCGAGGGGGGCGGCCAGACAGAGCGAGCGAGGAGGAGGAGGAGGAGGACGCCGAGGAGGAGGAAGGAGGAGGCAAAGAAAAGAAGCGGCGGCGGCGGCGGCGGAGGAGGGGGCGAGGAGGCGCGCGGCCCCCCGCTCCCTCCCTCCCCCCTTGACCCCCGACCCTTGCCGGCCGGCCCCCCGCCCCAGCCCCGGAGGGAGCTCATGGGAGTATGAAGGAGATGGTAGGAGGCTGCTGCGTATGTTCGGACGAGAGGGGCTGGGCCGAGAACCCGCTGGTCTACTGCGATGGGCACGCGTGCAGCGTGGCCGTCCACCAAGGTACGGGGGTGGCCCGCGGGGATCGGCGGGACCCGGTGCGGCGCGCTCAGGGCACCCCCAGCCGCGCCCTCGGGAGACCTCCCGGGGTTCAGGCTCCCCTCCCCCACGCCACCTGAAGGGAAGGGAGGCTTGGGGACTCCCCCACCCCACCCCGCCCCGTCCTGGAGGACCGGGTCACGCATTGTTTTCTTGCCTATTGTTCCAGTACTGCGCCCCCCACCCCAAGTTGAGGGAGTTTGGGGAGAGTCTAGGGGGCAATATGTGCACTCCCTGTGCCCCACAACGCCCAGTGTCTTGGCTGCTGGGGGCCTGTTTACCTGCCGAGGTGTCCCCTCCCGCCCGGTTATTTTGGTCCCAGCTCCCGAAGGGAGAGGGCAAGGGGGGGTCACCCCCCCTCTGCTTCCGGATACTGGGAGGAGCTGGATTGGGAAGGGAGGAGAAGGGTCCCAGAGGAGAAGGGACTCCTAAAATCCTCCAGGGAAGAGCCGGAGATCCCAGAGAGGTTGTGCAGGGGGCTGGGAATGAAGAAGAGGGAGGTTTGGAGTTTCCCCCAGCAGCACATGGTTCGGGAGTTAACTCCTTGAGGATTCTTGCTGAGGGCGCAGGCTGGCATCTCCTGCCTGCCTGGCACAGCCATCTGGGCCCCGTTCCTGGGACAACCCTCAATCCTGTAGTTGACTGTCCTACCCGTCTCTCTCCTCTGATTACTTACACTGCATCCACCCTCAACCTTGACTTTTGACGTGTATCTGTAATAGTTAGGAGCAGAACATAGATCCCTGGACCTCGACTTTCCAGCCTCTTCTCTTACTGGCCCTTTAAGAAACGCCCCCCCACCACCACCCAACAACAAAACATGTTTGAGTATCGGTGATTATTATCCCTTCAGTTTCTTCTGTTCCTGATGTTGAGGAGTGGGACAGGGCTGGAGCTGGAAAACAGGTCCTGAAAGGGTGTGGAAGGAGGATTTTCTAGAAGTTTAAGGTCAAGTACTCTGACTTCCCCCTGCTGGGAGTGTTTGCTGAATTGGTTGTGTGGTTGAAGGCAGGCTGTTTGTTACTGGACTTTTGTTGGGGTATTGCTGTCTAGTAAGTTACACACCAGCCTGGGGAGCATCTGGCCTGCAGGAAGTGGATCTAGTCCTTTGAAGTCCCCTACCCCTCTCAGCTTCCCCATCCCTATTGACCCCCCAGTTATTCTGGAAGAAAGCTATCGGTTGGCAGATTGACTCAGTGACTCTCCTCCCTAAACTCTAGCTTGCTATGGCATCGTCCAGGTGCCAACAGGACCCTGGTTTTGCCGAAAATGTGAATCTCAGGAGCGAGCGGCCAGGGTGGTGAGTTTGAGACTACCCCTCACCTTTCTACCTTCCCTCCCAGAAACCTGAGCATCTACTCCTGGCTGAGGCTAAGTAGGGTAGGACTTAACTGCTGTCACACAGAACTTCGGTTTCTAGCACATCTGCCTCCAACCCTATCTCTCCCTCAGCTCATCCCAACTCTGCCTCACCTCTGGCTTGAGGCCATTTGTTTTTTGTTTGTCTGTTTTCATAATTTTATTATGAAAATTTTCTAACATTAATACGAGTAGAGGGAATCTTATAACTAGCAGAACCTTATGTCCTTATCACCCATCAAGAAGTAATCAATTTGTAACCAATCCTGTCTCCCCTATACCCTCAGCCATGACCCAAAGACATCTTATCATTTCACGGGGCCCTTTCAGGGTGTCTGGGGAGGGCCTAGCTCAGTGGCTCCCTACTTTCTTTTGAAAAGCCCCGCCCCCCTCAAACCCCTGTGCCTCCTTGCATTGGCAGAGGTGTGAGCTGTGCCCACACAAAGATGGGGCATTAAAGAGGACAGACAATGGAGGTGAGGGGGGCCCTAAGCCTTAGGATTCTTCTCTCCAGGCCAGCAAGGCCCCCAGAGCAGGGTGGACTGAGGTGGGGGTGGATGTTGGCTTGCCCTTCCCTGGATGGCATTGGATTATGATGGGAGGGCTGTGGAGGTGGGGGAGCCTGTTTGCAGTGCGGGGCTATGAGGGGTGGGGGTCTTGGACTCACCTTCAGGAGCTGAGGCCAGCCCCACACTGCTCCAGGCTGGGCCCACGTGGTGTGTGCCCTCTACATCCCCGAGGTGCAGTTTGCCAACGTGCTCACCATGGAGCCCATCGTCCTGCAGTATGTGCCTCATGATCGCTTCAACAAGGTCAGCGGGCCCCTGCTGTGCTCCCCTACCAGTGCCCTCCTTTCTTCCATCTTTGGGTTCCCTCCAGTTGTCTTCATCTGGTGTAATTTGATGCCATCAACCTAACACTTTGAAGGGCCAGAGGGGATTGGTGGGCACCTACCACAGAATCACTGACAAACACACACACACACTCTTGCTCTACATACAACTCAAGCCTGAGACCTCAGCAAGTATTTCATTCGTTCCATTCCATCACAAATCACATTTTATTCCATGCCCACAACGCCTGGTGCCAGGCACACAGTATTCAGTGTGGATCAGACAGATGTGTTTGCCAAAGGTAGGATTTAGCTTGATCACACCGGTCTTTCTGTTTCCAGCACGCTGGTTGCCAGCCCTATCTTCTGCCTGTACTCACCCTTCTCCCATGGAGCATACATTCTTGTGGGGGGAGATTGTAAATATCAGTAAGCAGACAAAGTCAGTGCAAAGTGTGGCAAGTGCTGTGAAGAAAACAAACACAGCACTGAAATACTGCCTGTCTGGTGGTGGTGGTGGTGGTGGGGGCTTACTTTAGATAAAGTAGTCAGGGAAGGAGACATTTAGTCTGAGGGATATGAAGGAACCAGCTTTGAGGTGGGAGGGTGGAGGTTCCAGGTTCCAGGCAGAAGGAACAGTTTATACAAAGGCCCAGAGTTAGGAAATAAGCTCACCTGTGCATAAGATACACACAGTCCTTAGCCTTACAAAAGCTCCCTACCCAGGACTAAATTGTCCAAGATAGTAGCCACCAATAATGGCACTATTTCAATTAACTGAAAAATTCAGTTCCTTCACCACACTAACCACATTTCAAGTGCTTAATAGCCCTGTAGCTACTGTGTAGATTACACAGCATTCCCATCATGGGATCATTGGGAGAGGCTAGGATTGAGGGAAGACCAAAGGATCCCTCAAGCGGAAGGACAGGGGTGCCCTGGCAGGAGGGGACAATTGCTCTGTGTCCTGCAGACATGTTACATCTGTGAGGAGCAGGGCCGAGAGAGCAAGGCGGCTTCAGGAGCCTGCATGACCTGTAACCGCCACGGATGTCGACAAGCTTTCCACGTCACCTGGTGAGACCCTGCCCAGTCCTCCTCGGCTATGTGGGCTCATCCCTGCTGGACTGTGATAACCACACTGCTGCCTTGGCTGGTCTTGGCTCACCCCAGCAAGGGTTCAGGAGGGTGGGAGGGAGGTGGTTTGTGCCCAAGCTCTCTCAGGCTGACCTCTCCCCTCTCTGGGTTAGTGCCCAAATGGCAGGCCTGCTGTGTGAGGAAGAAGTGCTGGAAGTGGACAATGTCAAGTACTGTGGTTACTGCAAATACCACTTCAGCAAGATGGTGAGTGGCACCTGCCAGGCGTGAGTCGTGCTGACCAGTCAGCTATTGTGGAGAGGGTGTAGGCTCTGGGCCAGGCCTGGTGCTAGGAGGTCAGAGATGGACAGGTCCTTCCCATTGGCTGAGGGATAAACTTACAGCACAGCCTGAGGGGTGAGAAGCAGCCGAACCTCATAGTTCATCCGGGAAGACAGAGCACACACCCTGCCTGTCAGTCTGGGAGGCTCCAAAGAGGGGCATTTAACCTGAGTCTTGAGGTGGAAATAATAATGAGAGCCAACGTGTGCCAATCTCTGTACTAAATGCTCCCAGCAGTCCTTCGGACCAGGTATATTGCAATTGCCCCATTTTAGAGAGGGGGAAACAGGTTCCCTGACATTATATAACTTATCTCACAGCTGGTGTGTGGGGTTCAGAACAGACAGCCTGATGTAAAAGCCCTTCAGGAGCCTGCCAAGCAAGGACCTAGAGAAGCTCATTCTAGACTAACCGAAGGACTGGCATGGACATGAGTCTGGAGAGGAGAAAAGCTGAAAAACATCGAGTTGGATGAGGATGAGGCAGAAGAGGAGCTGAAAGAGCTCAAGCCAGGCCAGATCTAAGCTAGTTTCTGCCCCAGGATTAGGGGGCCCAAGGAGAAGCCCCAGAAGGGGTACTTAGTCCATGTTTGTGGATGGATTGACATGTACCAGAAGTGGTAAGGTAGTCAGAGCCATAGGCTGCAGCCTGGCGGGGAAGCAGCTTGGACCTCACCCCTAAGCCACAGGCAGTTGGGGAGATTTGTAAGCAGGGAGTAACATGATCAGGTATGTGTTTTAGGAAGATGACCCTGGCAGCCACTGGGAGGCTGGATTGGAGGGCTGAGGCTGGTGCTGGGAGACAACTGAGAAAGGGATTGATGGCAGACAAAGCTATTTCTAGGGAGACTTGCCTCAGAGACAGGGTGGCAGAGAAGAGCTGAGGTGACATGTAAGCTCTAGGCTGTAGACACTGGATAGGTGGGGCTTGAGTACCTAAGGGTAGTAGGAGCAGGGAAGGCAGCTTGCTTCCATAGGGTAAGTACATGTCCAGGTCTGCCCCATAAGGTCCCAGTTTATGCCTGTTGCCCTGGGGTAATTATTGATAGCTCCCCCTTTTGTTTTCAGAAGTCTCCTGCTTTAGAGCATACATAAGAATTTAGGACAAGATGAAGAGCTTGCTTTGATTTGTAGGAGGATGTTGAGATTTGGAGGCTGTCAGATTTGGGGTGGTAGTGGCAGCCCCAGGCTCAGATTTGGGCTGTCCACATGGGTAGGGTAAACAGAGGTGTAAGAATTGCCAGGAGACCAGATGGGAGAGGACCGGGACTCAGCAGGGTGGAAATGGTACCCAAAGTGGACAGGGACTAGGTCAGATAAGGCTTGGATTTGCCAATTGGGAGGTGGACAGGTGATGAAAAAGAGCAGCTACAGACCTTGGACAGGTGAAGTGGGAGTATGTTGGCAGTGAAGGGAAGGAGAAGGCTGAGTCCTGGCTAGAGGGAGAGGCAGCCTGTTTGGGTTTTTATTGTTAATGTTTACTTTCCTTTCTTAGGGCAGCAGGCCCTTATGGGTAGAAAAACTGCTGTGTTTGGTGGAGGGGATGGGCCAGGGACAAGGGAGAAGGGGTGATGGCTGGAAAGAGTTGTGTGGAAGAGAGGAGGTGATGTGGTATGTACGGGAACAGAGACTTGGGGTCCCTGCACACCCCTAACCCCAAGGAAGGGAGATAGGCCAAGAGTGTACCATGGAGAGGTAGGTGGAGAGCAGGAGGCTACCTCTGATTGTACTTCCAACCAAGTCCCTGCCTTTTCTAGACCTCAGTTGCCAAATCTGTGCATTGGTTAAACCAGCTCAGAAGGCTCTCAGGTTCTCAGGCTGAGCAGAGGAGCCTAGAAGACAAGAAGTCTCTTTTAGTGATGGGCAGGGTGGGAGGAAAGGACCTGAGGATCATCTGACCTTCAGGAACCTTTCTTGCGAGGGTTTAGCAATTTATCTCTTTCTCTCCCCCAGAAGACATCGCGGCATACTGGCCGGGGGGGAGGAGGAGGCGGCACAGGGGGCAGCAGCAGTGGATTCATCACTGGCCGGAGAAGCCGGTCAGCCTCGCCACCCAGCCAGCAGGAGAAGCATCCTACCCACCATGAGAAGGGCCAGAAGAAGGTACAAGTCTCCTGTCCTTCTCCTAGCCACACTTGTGCACCTCACAAACACCCATTGCTTATAAGAAGTAACCACAAGGTGCCACCAAGGCCTTGGGACTTGCCACCTCCTTTTCTCTGAGGGACAGGAGGGGACTGAGAAAGTGAAAGTCAGGGAGGGTGAGGTGAGGGCCTGGCCTCCCTGTGGCTCTTTTCATTTCTGTGTGGTTCCTTTGTGCCTGCCCCATGACAGGACTGTGTCCTCAAAGCTCAGCACATTTGCACACCTCTCCACAGTTGAGTCATGTGTCAGCCAAGTTTGTAAGTGCACCTGCCTCTGTCCCCACATGCCACACATCACAGTTCCATGTCCCTGGGTGGAGGCCTTTGCAGATGTGTGTGTGTATGTGGTGCTTTGTGTCACTGGCATAATGGGAAACAGACAGGTTATTTTTTATCAGACTGTAGAGCTGAAGGGAAGGGGCTGTTGGCTTCACAGGAACCTGTGTGTCTTGGTTTTCTAGTGTTGCTATAACAGAAATACCACAAGTGAGTGACTGTAACAAGCAAATGTATGTTTTCATAGCTTAGGGAGGGTACAAACTCTAGGGAAGGCTTTCTCTCTGTAGGCCCTGGAGGAAGGTGCACTTGTCTCTTCTGAACTTCTGCTCCTGATGATCTGGCGTCTCTCTTCCCCAACACTACTGCACTGTTCTCTTGTTTAATCTCTTTAATGTCTCAGAAGATACACCCTCCACTAATTCTGCCTCATTAAATAAGAAAGATGGCCCATTCCCAAATAGAATTATAACCACAAGCAAAAAGATTAAGATTTACCACACATATTTGGGGGGGGGGGGACACACACAATTTAGTCCATAACATTCCAACTTTTGTTATTGTTGTTAAGTGTCATGGAGTCAGTTCCAACTCATAGTGACCTGGTATAGGCTTCCTGAGACTATAAACCTTTGTGGGAGCAAAAAGCCTCATCTTTCTTCTGTGGAGCAGCTGGTGGTTCTCAGGCCAGTGCTAATCCTATAAAGCCCCCATGTTCCCTTCTACTCTTTGTTATTGTTGTTAAGTGCTGTTGATTCGTATCTGACTCATATAGGGTTTCCAAGGAGCATCTGGTGGGTTTGAACTGCTGACCTTGTGGTTCACAGTTCAGTGCTGATTCTACATCCCCCCAAAATTCATACCCTTGCCACATGCAAAATACATTCACCCCATCATACCATTTCCAATCTCAAATCAACTTGAAGTCCACAATCACATCTTCTGACTCATCTAAATCAAATATGGGTGACACTCTAGGCATATTTCATCCTGGGACAAAATTCCCCTTCATCTGTGAACCTGTGATACCTAGACTACAAGTCATCTAGTTCCGAAGTACAATGGTAGAACAGAACAGTCACAAGGGCGACACTGGGGGTAAAGAAGGGATTAACAGGTACAAAGCAAACCTCAAACCCAGCAAAACAAGTTCCATTAACTCTCAAGTCTTGAAAAGAATCCGCTGTTCCCTGAGGCCATCTAGGCAATGGCCCCACCCTTCAGACTCTGCATTCCGGGTGGAGGCCCCTTGGCTCTAGGCTTCAGCTCCACCTTCTAGGCCCACTGAGACAGCAATCGGCTTCCTTGGCTTTGGGAGGCCCCATTCTCCTAGTCCTTCTAAGAAGAGATTCTAACCCCTTGACCTCAATAGGTCCCTTTGTTCTTCTGTCCTTGGGCTTGACAGCTCTGCCCCTTCAGCTTTGGGCATTCATGAACTATAGCTCCATACTCTGGAACCAAGTTGGTGAAGATATGTCTTTTTGAAACCTATGGGACTGTGGCTTCTGGCTTCACCCTTTGAAATCTCAACAGGCCAGTGTTCCACTCTTTAAAATCCAGGCAGCCCTTCTTCCCATACCAACAGTTCTGCTGGTCACCAAACTGCTCCAGGGATAGGCCTGTTTTTCTTGGAGGGTAACAGATGTGGCTCCTTTGGCCTGTTTCCTGCCTGTAGAATTCCCAGAGGCAGACAGCATTCTTTCCTTTTGTTCTGTCCCTGTCCCTTCAATCTAAGCTGATGAGTTTTCTGCTGTGATAGTTGGTTAGATCAATCAGTCACAGGCTTAATCTTTTTAACAAGTTAGTCTAGCACATCCTTGGTGAAAATTCTAAGACATATGTCCTTAGTTGGTACAACCTAATTTTCCAAATCTTTAAGTTTTGTTTTCATTTTACACAGTTGTTTTTTTGTTCAGCTTTTTATTGTGAATTGAGTGAAGGTTTACAGAACAGAGAGTTATACATTCAATAAATCACATACTTTGCTTCATTACAATGATTGCAATCCCTTCCATGTACCATCAGTTAACAGTATTTATCTCTATTGTTTTTAACTATTGCATTCCTTCCTGTCTCCTACTACCTTCATCTTTCCTCTGCTAGCCTCCCTCTTCTTGTCTACCCTCTAGACCATGAATAATTTTCCCTTCTCTTTTCCCCCTTCTATGACCATCAAGATTATTTCTTTTATAAAGAAAACCTTTTCTTAACTTTTGACAACATTGGCCTCATACAATTTTTGTCCTTTTGTGATTGACTAATTTTGCTCAGCACAATGTCCTCCAGGTTCATTCATGTTGCTTGAGGTATTTTGCAGATTCATCTTTGTTCTTCCATGTTGCGTAGTATTCCATTGTGTGTATGTACCAAAGCTTGTACAATTCATTTTTAAAGTCTCTTTCCTCTTGCATTTTACTACGCAAGGAGAAACCACACAACCCCTTTAAGAACTTGCTTAGAAACCTCCTCAGCCAGACATCCAAGTTCATTACTTACAAGTTCTACCTTCTATCAAACATTTGGGCATAATTCAGAGAAGCCCTTTGCCACTTCATTGTCCAATCATCTATTCATCTTTTACCATTTAACAGAAGCACTTTTAGCATCCATATTTCTAGCAACATTCTGTTCCTGGTTCCCATATGCATTTTCTAAGATGTCAGAGACTTATTCTGTAGCTCTACTCATTTCCTAAAGAGCTCTCAGCAGAATTGCCTTTGACAGCCATAATTCTACCAACAGTTTCTTCAAGGCAATCTAGACTTTTACAGTTAGGCACCGTAAAACTTTTTCAGCCTCTACCCATTTCCCGATTCCAAAACCACTTGCACATCTTACGTATTTGTCAGAGCAGCACCCCACTCCTGGTACCAAATCCTGTCATATAGTGCTGCTATAACAGAATTGCCACAAATGGGGGACTAATGAACACATTTATTTTTCTCACTATTTAGGAGACTAGAAGTGCAAATTCAGAACACTGGCTCTGAGGGAAGGCTTTCTGTCTCTGTGGGCTCTGGAAGAAGGTTCCTTGTCTCTTCGGAGTTTCTGCTCCCGGGAGATCTTCATGTGGCTTGACATCTCTCTTCCCCCATCCCTGCTCTGTTCTCTTGCTTCCTCTCTTTTTATAAAAGACACTGACTCAAGTTCACCCTACACTCAGTCTTCCTCATTAGTATAACAAAGACATCCCATTCCCAAGTGGGATTATAAATTCAGACAGAGAGGCTGGGATTTATAACATAAAAATTTGGGAGACACACTCAATCCATAACATTGTGACACTCCTACCCAGCTAAAGTATTTAGTTCCTCCCAAGATGGAGATTAAAGACCCATTCCTGAGAGGGCATCAGCTCCCCAAACCCACTTATCATATTCATCCTATGGAAACAGTGGCCCAGCTCCAATATCTGGTCACCTTTGCCTCCTCAGAGCCGAAAAGACAAAGAACGCCTTAAACAGAAGCACAAGAAGCGGCCTGAGTCACCCCCCAGCATCCTCACTCTGCCTGTGGTCCCCACTGCTGACAAGGTACTGCTGCCCATATTCAGGAAGGGTGAAATCCAGGTCTTGGGGGTACCCGGTGGATGGAGACAAGGTGTGAGGGGCTAAGGATAGTCCAGGGATCTGGGTGCCCTACCTGAAGCTTTAGGTTAAAGTGAACCCCCCACCCCCAACACACACACCATCATCACCTCTTCCAGTTCCCTGTTCTAACCTAGAAAGACTTGTGATCACCCTGCCTGCTGGTTGCCAGATGTTCACATCTGTCTCCCTCAGTTCTGGGCTCTTCTCTGCAGGGGCGAGTACAGTACTCAGGCTGGTTCTCCAGGTTCCTGGGCCCATTCCCTAGAGAGGACGCCTTCTCTCTCACCCCTCCCCTGCTTTCAGGAAGAGACCCAAAGCCTGTCATCTACTCAAAACGTCACTCCATGCAGCATTGAGGGACTGAGTGTCTGGACATGGTGGCATGAGGGACAGACTGCTACCCAGCATCCCCTAGTGTCCACCCATCCTGCTCCTCCCACAGGGGCATGGTATGTCAGGCCTGGCTCCAGAAATGGGCAACATCTGGATTAGCAAACAGAAGGCCCTGCCTGGAGCCAGGGAGTCGCTAATCCAAGCCAGAGCAGCCCTCCCTTCAATTTGCCTTCCCCATGGAAGGAAAACTGGGACTTGGAGAAAATGCTTCCTCCTATAGCCCATTATTGCCCCAGACAGTTGGCAGTGCCTTGGGCATCTTAGCAGGAGACTCAGGTGTCAGGTTTCTAGGATGATGGAGCTGTAGCAGCTGCCCCAGTAACAGCCTCTCTCTCCTCCCTGCTTCCTAAGGCTCACCTGAAAAAGCTGCCACCCATGCCCTCTGACCTTTCCCAGGGGCCTGCAACCCTTCATTAGCTCTGGGGCAGGTGGAAAGAGAAGGCCAGAGTGCTGGGAGTTTCCCCAGTGATTGGGATTTCCCTTGGACATATTGGAGTATTCTGCCCTGCACCCTCCACACCCCGCATTTCAACTACCCCTCCTCCCAGCCTCTCCCCTCTCTTGCTTCAGGACCACATCTGGCTCCCTTCAGAACTCCAGCTGTTGAAAAGAACAAAGAGGAAGACAGAGACCAGGGCTCCACCCTGGGAGGGATCACACAGGGTGGCTCTTATTTCCCACCCCCATTCTCCCTCTAGCATTTGTATATTTGGGCCATGTTTACTGTGCAGGTCTCCAAGGACTGGCCAGGTCCTGTTACTCTGGGATGAAAAGCGCCACCATGGCTGTAATAAGAACTGTTAACTCTCACCACGTACCAGGAGGAGAAAAGGGGTGTACAGGGATTAGTTCATTGAATCATCAAAAGAATCCAATCTAGTAGGTGTTTTATTAACCGCATTTAATGGATGAAGAAACTGAAACACAAGATTAAGAAATTTGCCTAAAAGGACCCAGCTCATAAGTGGTGGAGTTAAGATTTGAACTCCGGTGATGTAACTGGAGCCTGAACCAAAACATAGCACTGTCTCTTGCAGTATAGTAATAACAACAGTTATTCATCAGAACACTCCCATTGATTGACCTCATACTATGTATCTGGCATTGTGCTACTTAGAACTCTCCAACTAGGCATAATTCACCCTCCATGAAAACTGAAAAAGCTCAGCTAGTTTGAGACCTACCAGTAGAGTCAGCCAGGCTCAAGGTCCAATCTGTGCCACACTCTAGAGCCCAAGCTCCTTGAGGGGTTGCTGACCTTGGACCTTGGACTCGGGGACAGGTCATTGCAGTACTATGTGGCAACTGTTGATATGGCAAATGTGGTACATGGTGCCCGGGAAATACGAGGACAGAGTGATTGGTGGCATCCCAGGCTTCCAGGAAGGCTTCATTCACAGAAGAGGGGGCTTCTGAGCTGGATTTTGAAGGATGTGACATTTTCAAGGAAGAATAGGCTCAGTGGCAGAAGGCTCAACATTGATGTCTAGGAAGAGCCCAGTGGTCTGTCTGGGAATGGGGAGGGAGCCAGGTGGCTGCAGCTTGGGGTGAACAGGAAGGAATGGTGGGAACTGGAGGGCCCATGCTTCATGTGGCTCCTCTTCCTACCCAATCCATTTCCTGGCACAGGCCCAGCCATCTTAGGCTCCCTAGATACTTCTGGATTGAGTAAAGAGACAAATAGATGAGTAAATCAGTACTGCCTCTTGAACTGTTTTCATCTCTCCCTTGTCATCTCCACCCCTCCCCGCCAACCCCTTTCATCCTTTGTGGTGAAAGACCTTCTTAGGTTCAGAGCTTCTCTCCCTACCTCATACCCAGAAGCTCTCCCAGCTCTCTGCTGGGGATGTCCTTCAAGAAGCTAACTTAGCATTTTCAGTGAGCCCTGGTCCCAAGCTCCCTGCTCCATTCCCAAGTAGGGCTGGCCCAGGCTCTGAAACCCTTCCTCTTTCCTCCCCACCCTCAGATCTCCTCCTCGGCTTCTTCTTCCTCCCACCATGAGGCCAGTAGTCTGGAGACCTCTGAGAGCAGCAGGGACTCAAAGGGGAAAAAGTCTTCCAGCCATAGCCTGAGTCACAAGGGGAAGAAACTGATCAGTGGGAAAGGTGTGAGCAGTTTTACCTCTGCCTCCTCCTCTTCCTCCTCCTCCTCCGGGGGCCCCTTCCAGCCTGCAGGTGAGTATGGGGATCCTAAAGGAAACTGGGAGCGGGGACCACCTGTTGCCCTGAGCTTTTCTTACCAGCACTTTTGCATACTGGTTTGCATCTCATTTACAGCTACAGTTTGGTCCAGGAAAAAGATGGAGTATCCACTCCCACTAATGATTCCTCTCCAAACCCTTCCCTCAGCCTTTCCCTCCCTCTTGGGGCACGCTGCTGGACCCCCATCACCATGTTCCTTAGCCCCTATACTGTGCTGCCAGGGGCCATCTTGACAACACTAACCTCACACTCTCCAGTCATCCAGGGAGGTCACTTTATTACAAGTGGGAAAGCTGGAGGGAGGGACTTGGCCCAGGACACAAAGCAGTTAGTATCAGAGCTAGGTCAGGAAGCAGGCTGTACTGTTCCTCCACACCCCTCCCCCGCCATGCCCCATGTGGGGAATGGAACCCAGTGAGGGGTCTGAGGTCTAGCTGTCATTCCCTTTCCCTTTGCACAGCCTCATCGCTGCAGAGCTCCCCTGATTTCTCTGCATTCCCCAAGCTGGAGCAGCCGGAGGAGGACAAGTACTCCAAGCCTGCAGCCCCCACCCCTTCAGCACCACCTTCTCCCTCAGCCACTGAACCCCCCAAGGTTGACCTCTTTGAGCAGAAAGTGGTCTTCTCTGGCTTCGGGCCCATCATGCGCTTCTCTACCACCACCTCCAGTTCTAGCCGGGCCCGGGCCCCCTCCCCTGGAGATTATAAGTCTCCTCATGTCTCCGGGTCTGGACCCTCAGCAGGCACCCACAAGCGGATGCCTACGCTGAGTGCTGCCCCTGCATCTGCTGAGGAGGTCCCTGAGACGGGCCTGACGAAGGAGAAGAAGCACAAAGCCAGCAAGAGGAGCCGACATGGGCCAGGCCGTCCCAAGGGCAGCCGGAACAAGGAGGGCACTGGGGGCCCAGCTGCTCCCTCCCTGCCTACTGCCCAGCTGGCTGGCTTCACTGCCACAGCTGCCTCACCCTTCTCCGGGGGCTCCCTGGTCAGCTCTGGCCTGGGTAGTCTGGTCTCCCGAACCTTCGGGCCTTCTGGGAGTCTGCCTAGCCTGAGCCTGGAGTCTCCCCTGCTGGGGGCAGGTTAGTGATCCCTGAAGAATGAACAGGGAGATCCTGGTCCAGCCAGTCTCCTGAGGGGCCAGGAGCACAGACAGGCACTTAGAGGGAAAGGTGATAGAAACTGCTCTGGAGAACAGGGATATAGGCTGGAGGTGCCACTCCCTACAGCACCGTTCCACATGGCTTTAGTGTGAGAGATTGGGGTAGACTGCCAACAGGATTCAGCGGTTGGCAGGGGAATCCTCAGAACAGGGCAGGGCAGCCTAGCAAGCAAGCCTGCCATGCGGAAGTCCTCCAGGTGAGAAGTGACAGCTTTGCAGCAGGGTGGTTAGAGTGGTGTGTGTGTGGCTAGTGGGGTGGGGGGTGGGGGAAATAGTCTTCCTGGGGAGGAGCTGCACCAGTCACCAGACTGAGGAGGGGCCTGGGGCCAGGACTGTAACCTTCCCTCTGTCCTTGTCCCCACAGGCATCTACACCAGTAATAAGGACCCTGTCTCCCATGGCAGCGGGATGCTGCGGGCTGTCTGTAGCACTCCCCTCTCCTCCAGCCTGCTGGGGCCCCCAGGAACTTCTGCCCTGCCCCGCCTCAGTCGCTCTCCCTTCACCAGCACCCTCCCCTCCTCGGCAGCTTCTATCTCCACCACTCAGGTAAGGCCTGGCTCCTGGGCTGCTCCTTCCCTGGGCAAGTGGAAGGCAGGCTCTAGAGTACCCCAACCCTCCATGGGAGTTCTGATTGGAGAGACCAGGCTCCTCTCCTCCCCAGCACACCCCCATGGCCCCAGTACAGACAATGTGCCCTAGTTCCAAGAATAACCAAGGCTGGCCTGTGCCTCCTCTCCCTCAGGTGTTTTCTCTGGCGGGCTCTACCTTTAGCCTCCCTTCTACCCACATCTTTGGAACCCCCATGGGCACCGTTAACCCCCTCCTCACCCAAGCTGAGAGCAGCCACACAGGTATGTGTGTTTCTAACCCCACTCCCCTTTCTTCCCCAAAGCCTGACGGGTACCTATGCATGTGACCCCAGAAAGGATGGGAAGACTTTCTGGCTGCCCCCTCCCTCTGTCCACACTGCAAAATAATAATAATAATAAAATAAACAAACCAGGGTACAACTTCACCTCGGAACCTGGTGAGGGTGCAGAGGCAGAGTCACTGTTCTGCCTCAAAAAAAAAAAAAGACAAAATAAATTGAGGTAGAGAATGGCAGAGCTAGGGCTCAAATTCTGGTCATCTGAATCCAACCTCAGTGCTCTTACTCACTGCAGAATAGCTCTCCACGTGCCTTTTAGTGACCTCTTAGTGCGTCATTGGGATTAGTATTTACCGAGGTTCCACCACCCGGACTATCTGCTCTCCGGATATTTAGGAGTTAACGGGGCGGACCTCAAGCTCCTTGCCCTTTCTCTAGAGAGTCAGCCCAGCCCCAGAAATCTGATTGGTGTAAGACACCACCTGTCAGCCATTCGGGGGGCGGGGTTTGCCGCCTGGTCTCCGGCTCAGGTAGGCCTTCTTAAAGAGGCCGAATCCCATTCCAGATTTAAGACTAGAAGCAAAGGGTGACTATTTTCCAAAGCCCAAATCAGGATTCTGCGATCTAACAAAGAGTTTTACCTTCCGACATGTGAGTTTATGAATATAAAAAGTCACAAGCTAATTATAGTAACAGCTACAATTATTAATGAGCTTGTTTCATGTCAGCTTAATACTTCACATTTTATTAACCTTACTTTAATTCTCATAAAAAGTTACTTAGGGAAGTTAGTTACGTTCCCAAGGTCACATAGCAAGTAAGTGTCAGACCCAAGTTCAACCCAGGTCTGTCTTGACCCCAGAAGTCTATAACTCTGAAGTTCCCTGAAAAGAAATTGGGAAGTGGATCTGGAAGTAGCCAGGCAGCAGCTGCCTTTCTGCCTAGAGAAAAAGGAAAGAGACCGATCCCAAGGCCTCGCCTCCTCAGGGACCGGGCTTCCTAGCCTGGGTTCCCAGCACTTTACACCTTGAACTTCCAGTCTGGGGTTGGGAGATCCTGGGTAAGGGGTCTGTGATGAGGTGCCAGGTCACGCACCCACCACCTGGGCGGGGCCGAGAGACGGACGGCCACCCCGCCCCCGCTGATCCCAGCTCCTCCTTCTCCTTCCAAGAGCCAGACCTGGAGGACTGCAGCTTCCGGTGTCGGGGGACCTCCCCCCAGGAGAGTCTGTCTTCCATGTGAGGGAGGGGGCGGCGTCTGGGGGAGGGCACGGGAGAGGGGCTGGAGGAACACCCGGGAGAGAAGGGTAGAGACGGGCACTGGGAAAGGTGGGGACCAAGGGAACGGATAGAACTCTTGGGGGTAGGGAGATCGGAGCGGCGGCACGAGGTAAACCTGAGTCCGGCTTTCATTTCTGACCCCAGGTCCCCCATCAGCAGCCTTCCAGCACTCTTTGACCAGACAGCGTCAGCGCCCTGCGGGGGTAGCCAGTTAGACCCAGCGGCCCCGGGAACTACTAACATGGAGCAGCTGCTGGAGAAGCAGAGTGATGGCGAGGCCGGCGTCAACAGTGAGGAGGGGTGGCGCCAGCCTGGGGCAGTTCCTCTTGGGCCCTCAGACCCTGTTACCTTTCTTCCTGAGGTCCCCTAACGTCGTTAAGTTTCCATCCCTACACCCGGCTCCCAGCTTGAACTCAAACCCAACCCCAGGCCTTACTTACCTTTAACCCTTCCAAGGCGTTACTATGTAGTCCCTGGCCCTGAGCCTAACTTCCACCCGTCCATCTCTCTTAACCTTGGGGCCTCTACCTTGAGCTTCAGGCTCCACCCAGGGTCCTCAGGTCCCGCCTCTCTGAGCTCCCCAGAGTCCCCGGCCAGGCTCCACCCCTCTGGCCCCGCCCCCGACTGCCCTATGCCCCGCCCCGCCGAACCCAGGTCTCTGTTTCTCGCGCATTTGGACAGTTGTGGAGATGCTGAAGGCGCTGCACGCACTGCAGAAGGAAAACCAGCGCCTGCAGGAGCAGATCCTGAGCTTGACGGCCAAAAAGGAGCGGCTGCAAATTCTCAACGTGCAGCTTTCGGTGCCCTTCCCTGCTCTGCCTGCCGCCTTGCCTGCTGCCAATGGCCCTGTCCCCGGCGCCTACTGTCTGCCTCCACAAGGTGAGGAAACCTCACCTAGCCTAGGGCAGAGAACTCTACCGGGCTGTCCTGACCCCAGCCCCTGACCTTCATCCGTGATCCCCCTTCCTCAGCCGGCAGCAACGACTCCTTGAGCACCAGCAAGAGCCCTCCAGGCAAGACCAGTCTCGGCTTGGACAACTCGCTGTCCACATCCTCCGAGGTGGGCGCTCGGGGAGCCGGGGGAGAGGGAGGAGTAGCAGCTCTGTCTGCTACTATTAGGGGGCTGGACAGCTAGACAGGGAAGTGAATAAGTAACTGAACTGGTTGATCGATTGATTGGCCCGTTCATTGAACAAATAATAATTAGTAAGTGCCTACTTTGTGCCAGGGAATAGCTAAGCATGAAGTGAACCAATCAGACACAGCCCTGCGCCTTGAAGATAGACGAAATCTCCAAGGAGACAATAAATCATTACAAACTGGGAGAAGAGTTAGGATGGCAAAAAACTGAAGGCTGAGGGGATGATAGGGGGTGGCAGTAAGGTGGTTAGGAAAGGCCTCTGTGAGAAGTAGCTGTGAAGAGTTGGTTATAGCACTTCACACAAAAGAATCCCTCTGTAATTGGTGGTGGTTGGGGTAGCAGTTGCTATTGTTACCATGGTTATTATTGGAATCAAACAGATTGGGTTGTGTTCTGTCTCTGCTACTTATACACTATCTGATTGAGCAGTAATAATCCTCGTAATAACTGACATTTATGACGGCTCACCCTGCGTTGAGCCCTGTGCTGAGGTTTTCATGTGTTGATGTATTTAGTCTACAATAATGTTACGGAATACACACTGCTTTTACCCCATGTTATGGAGGCCTGGTGTGACGTTGTAGGATAAGCACTGGACCGTAAGATCGTTTGAACTGTAAGGTCGGCGGTTCAAATTCACCAGCTGCTCCTTGGAAACCCTGTACAAACAGGGTCTCTATGAGTAGGTACCACCTGGAAGGCTCTTAACAACAAGAACAATTAATTACCCCATGTTATGAGTAGGAAACTGAGAGACAGGTTGAGCCCAAGGCCACACATACCATTGTGTTGTGAAAGTGACATTTGAACCTGAACTTTTCACTTGAGCTGCCTTGCTCTTGCCTGCAGTTCCTTAAACTGTAAGAATCGATTGCTTCATCCAGATCGTGGACTAACACGAGAGCACAGGCCGGGCGCTACACCTTGGGTCTGGTTCATTGTCACTCATTTGAAGTAAGGGTGATGTGGGGCACTGTACCTCCTAGGAAGTGCTCAGTAACCATGATTTGTGAAGGCTATTTGGACCCCTGGTGTGGCGCTGTAGGATCAGCACTGGACTGAGAACCACAAGGTCAGCAGTTCAAACCCACCAGTTGCTCCTCAGAAATCCTATACAGGGTTGCTAGAGTCGAATCGACTCAACGGCACTTAACAACAACAAATTTGGATTCTTAGGCTTCATCCCTGGAACTTGCTTCTTTCTCCAGGGTGGCTCTGCCTGGGGGATGAGGTGTGGGTGGCTGCACTCTGAGAGAATGCCGGTTGGGTGCTGGGGCTGGGGGCCAGAAAAGTCCTGCTGGCCCCCTGCCCCTCTGACCTCTCCCTTCCCCCTCCCTTCCCAGGACCCCCACTCAGGCTGCCCAAGCCGCAGCAGCTCGTCGTTGTCCTTCCACAGCACGCCCCCACCGCTGCCCCTGCTCCAGCAGAGCCCTGCTACTCTGCCCCTGACCCTGCCAGGGGCCCCTGCCTCGCTCCCACCCCAGCCACAGAACGGGTTGGGCCAGGCAGCTGGGGCAGCGGGACTGGGTGCCATACCCATGGCTGAGGGGCTTCTGGGAGGGTTAGCGGGCAGTGGGGCCCTGCCCCTCAATGGGCTCCTGGGGGGGTTGAATGGCGCTGCTGCCCCCAACCCTGCGGGCTTGAGCCAGGCTGGCGGGGCCCCCACGCTGCAGTTGCCGGGTTGTCTCAACAGGTGAGGGGAGAACTAGTCCTGGGGAAGGGAAGCAGGGAGGCCGGCTCTGGGAGGGATTCTGCCCTCAAATCCATATCCCCCAAAAGGAAAAATGCCCTGTTGTCAATGAGGACAGAGAACCTCTAGGCTCAGACACAGCCCCCCTGCTAGACTGTTGGATCAGAGTGCCCCCTGGCTGCTAGCTCTCCAGGGACCACATAGTCTGATGATCTCTTCTTCCCCAATCTAGGGTTTCCTTCTGAGGAAATGTTTTCCATCGAACTGTGTCCCACCCATTGCACTCTCGGAGCTCAGTCTATTTTTTCAAGTCCTCTAAAAGTCCCTGCCTCTCTTTGGGCCTGAGGAGTCTGGGAGCCTGGTGGGTGGGAGAGGGGTGGGGGGCCTTCCCCATGATTCCTGTTTTGCCCCCTGCCTCAGCCTGACGGAGCAGCAGAGACACCTCCAGCAGCAAGAGCAGCAGTTACAACAGCTTCAGCAACTCCTGGCCTCCCCACAGCTGAGCCCGGTAATGCCCCTCCCAACATGGCCATCTCAGAGGCCCACTCTGCTTGCCTGGCTCCACCTGGAAGGGCCCAGTGTAGAGCATCTGGTCAGCCTGGGAAAGGAGGAAGGAAGGCTCCAGACTGGGTCTCTGTAGGGTGGGGTTGAGGTAGGCTAAGGATTACAGTCAGGGCCTCCTGCCCCCAGCATTGGGGATGGGATGCTGAAGTGGTCCCAGATCACAGCCTACTGGATCTGGAGGGTGGTGAGCATCTGTAACTCCAGCCTCCAAACCCTTAGGGAGGAGGGGACTGAGCAAGTAAATGCGCCCACCCCAACCAGAGCAGCTTCCTTTGAGTCTGTTTCATGTGTTGCATTGAAGATACTGAAAATACTGGGTTCTGCCAAGATTTCCTTTGGAGAAAAGGAGGTCTGCTTTTAAAAATAAGGGAGTTGATGGAAAAAAAAAAGGCCATTTTTATAAAATGACTTTAGAAAGATAGCACAAGAAACCAATTCAATTGATTACCAAGGAGAGTATCCTGGTGTAGCGCTGTGCGCTAATGCGCCTGACTGCAAAGTTGGTTTGAAGTGCAAAGTTGGCGGTTCAAGCTCACCAGCCACTATGGGTTGGAACCAACTTGATGGCACTTAACAACAACAACAAGGGTGGCACTGTGGGTTAATGCGCTGGACTGCCAGGTCAGCAGATCGAGCTCAACAGCTGCTTCTCAGAAACCCTATACAGGATTGCGATGGGTCAGAACTGACTCGATGACACTTAACCACAACAACAACAAGGGGCCAAAAGGGAACAGGACTAGGAACAAGATTTCATAATTTAAACCTTGATACACTGTTTGGGTTTGGAGAACACTGAGAATGCATTCCCTATCAAAACTGAAAGGAGCTCTGGTAGCGTAGTGGTTACGAATCGGGCTGCGGTTCGAAACTACCAGCCGCTCCGCGGGAGAAAGATGAGGCTTTTTACTCCCGTAAAGATTTACACCCTTGGAAACCCTGTACAGGGTCACTATGGGTCGGAACCGACTCAATGGCACTTAACAACAACAACATCAAAACTGAAATAGATGAATCATCATCAATGAAAAAGACAAAAATATAGAGGGATAGTTGAGAACCACTCACCTAGTTTGTGGTCTCAGCTTGGGGGGATTATCACTTCTAGGGGGGATTTGTGCTTGTCACATGGACTGAGGAACAGATTCTTCTTTAGTGGGCAGGGGACAGAGATGTTGAGCATCCTGCATCCTAGGAGCAGCCATTTTTTACCTTGATGGGAGACTGAGGCTAAGTGTGGAAAGTTAGAGGTAGAATCCTGGATCTCTCCAGGTCTCCTGCCTCATGGAATGGGACCTGGGCCAAGCAGGCCAGGCTGGCAGTGGGAGAGGTCCTGGGGACCCCCAACCCATGCCGTACTATCTGGCCCTCTTGCAGGAACACCAGACTGTTGTCTACCAAATGATCCAGCAGATCCAGCAGAAGCGGGAGCTTCAGCGGCTGCAGATGGCAGGGGGCTCCCAGCTGCCCATGGCCAGCCTGCTGGCAGGAAACTCGACCCCGCTGCTGTCCGCAGGCACCCCTGGCCTGCTGCCCACAGCGTCAGCACCACCCCTGCTGCCTGCCGGAGCCCTGGTGGCCCCCTCACTAGGCAACAACACGAGTCTCATGGCAGCGGCAGCTGCAGCCGCAGCAGTAGCAGCAGCAGGCGGCCCGCCAGTCCTCACTGCCCAAACCAACCCCTTCCTCAGCTTGTCGGGGCCGGAGAGCAGTGGCAGTGGCCCCAAAGGAGGGGTGAGTATGGGGTCCCGGCCTTCCTGCTGTAATCCTGAGAAGACACATTTTGAGTAGAGGTGGCTTTTTAGGCGCATCATTAGAAGGGTACACCTGAAGCCACCTCTACTCCAGACCCTCTCCAGAATTGGAGCACCTGGCCCCATATGCAGGTCCAGGGAAGAAAAACTGAGCCTGGGGTAGAAGTAAAGGGACCACTTAGAAAAAGGCTGTTTGCTTTCTGAGTAGACTAATTAGAAAAAAGACCCTCCTCCTCTGAAGGGCCACACAGCCAGGCTGGCACATGCCCACTCAGCTGGGCGCCCTGTGTACGGTGGTGGCGGTGGAAACCTCCCCTCGTGCTTACATTGGCCCTGGAGTACACCTGCCAGAGCCCAAGCCAGGCTCCATTTCTGCACCCTACTACAGCTATCTTGGCCTGGGAAGCTGTTCCCAATTGGGGTGTCAAGGCCAGACATGTCCCCAAACCCAAGCTTGCCTTCTTCTCTTTCCAGACCACTGACAAAGGAACCTCAGCTAACCAGGAAAAAGGCTAAATCCACTCATACCCCTCCTGACCCCCAAGTGGAGGGGGTAATCCTAGCCTGAGGGGTCCTAGCCTGAAGCAGGCACCTGCACCCAGACACTGGAGAGCCGGGGCCCAGAGTATGTGCTGTGGGACCCCGGGAGCAGTGGGCAAGCCTGGTAGAGAAGACTCAGAGTGAGAGGGAGCCCCTTGTCCACCTGGTCCTCTCCTCTGCACTGGCCCCTCTGTAGGGGCACAGGGGCGGCAGACTCAAAGCCTGCCTAGAAGTTCCTACCCTCAGTAAATGTAATAGGGTCCCCCTGAGAGCAAGGTGGGCTGTGGTATTAGTGGGGGGGTCAATTAGCCCCTCCACGTAAAGTGGAGCAGCACTTGAGAGGGGAGCAGTAGAGGGACAGGCCCTGGGAAGTCCCTGCCAGTGTGGCAGTCTTTATGGAAGAAGGCTTGGCCTGACTTTTTCTGCTGTTTCTGCAGATGGCAAAAGGAGGGGATCCCTTGGACTGTTTCTTGCCGCCCCTGGCACTCCCCAACAAGGGTCACAAGCTGAGCTTGTAAAAGCCTAGAGATGTAAGGGGGCAAGATAGCATCAAATTCAGCCCAAGCCTCCGCCACCTCTCGGGCATCCCCACGTTATGTTACGTCAGGGGAGAGAGGCATGGAGAAAGCTCCGCGTCCTTGGTGCCCTGTCCCTTGTTTGCACTATTGGATTTAGGAGTGCTGACGGTGGTGGGGAGATGGAGCTGTGACTCAGAGCGTGTGCGTGCGCATGTGTGTGCGTGTGTGTCTCCCCCTGGACCCAGGCCAGCTGAGGGCAGGGATAGGAGCAGTGGTCAGATGAGGCGGCACCAGAGCAGGGAGCTTTCAGCTCTTATTTGCACCCTCCCCACCTCGCCAACTTTGGTCCCGTTACGGGGCATGAATGGTTAACAAAACCAGAACAGTACTCCAATATTGGAGAAATGACTGGGGGCTGGAGGCTTTGAATCAGGGTAATAGCCCACCTTCCCTCCCCCAGAGCCCACATGGTCTCAGTGCTCTCTCAGGACCTCCCTCCCCCACTGAGAGTTTGGTCCTGCTTCCCTGGCACAGGAGAGCCCCAAGTATCGGGAAAGGGGCCAGGGAGGACAAAGTGCCCCTTCCTGTCGTGAAAACCTCTCCCAGAATCTGCTAGCCTGCCTTCCTGCACCCCTTCCCACCCTCCATCCAGGGGAGAGCTTCAGCTGACCTAACAACTGTTCCCTCACTCATCAGCTATTTCCTCTGGGGAATAGTGGGCATTTCTCACCTTACAAGAACCTCCACCTTTCCTGGGCCACCAAAGGCTAGGGGTGGATGTGACAGGCAGGAGAGAGGCCAGGTTAAAGACTGTGTATGTGTTTCAGTTGCACTGGGGTTGGAGCCCGGGGAGGTGCTTCTGCCTTCCCCCTAGATGGCTCTTGTCTTGTCAGTCTGTTTGCATGTGTGGATTTTCTTTGTGTGTTTCTGTTTGGGTTTTTGTTGTTGGTTTTTTTGTTTTGTTTTGTTTTTTTAAATAAAGAAAAGAAGATGTGTATATTTTTGGCAACGACAGAAACGTAGTGCAGATATATTTTTGCCTGTGCTGCTCAACTGGTTTTTTTCTGATACTGAAAATAATATTAATATTCCTGTTGATAAGACTTTGTAATGTTAGGGAGAGGGTAATGGAGGGGGTGGGGTAGGAATCCTTCAAAGGCAACTTCTTAGACACTTGGCAAGGGCTTGGGGGTGGGGGACAGTTGTGACAATGACCTCGGAAATACTTCTTATTAATTCTGATTATCAGTTAGAAAGAACTATAGCAGTCAGCAGCTTATGCATCTTAATCTCACTAAGCTCTTTAAACCCCTGCATGTGAAGCACTGGGGGAAAACAAAAAACCTTCAGAAAGTCTTGGAAGAATTGCTCACCCACATCCATATCCTTGCCAAAGGCCGGCCCACTTAGAACTGAAGTCACCTTCTGCTCTAGATAGTAAAAGTGAGTCCACCCCAAGGCTGCTGTGGTTGAGCGTCACAATTCCCCAAGATTTAGTGCACTGGAGCTCCCCCTCCCCCAAGCATGTCTCTGCCCACCCCCATCCTGAGTCTGGGGGTCTCCTCATTCAGTCTAAGCTCTCCAGCTTTTCCAAGCCCTTGGCATTCCCCAGGCTGGCAGGTTGGATTTAAAGAAGGGACTCAGGATTTCTTCCCCCACCCCCAGTTATGGGAGGCATGAGGGAGACTAGGATTTCCAATTTTGGAGGGAACTTAATAATAGGAAAGGTCCCAGCATCTTCAGGAGGGATTAGGATACCACCACAGCGGGATGGCTAGAATACCTCACCTTGTCTCCCAGCCTCAGCCTCCTTTTTGAGAAGGGGTTTGGATGGGGGTGGAAGAGCTGGTTGATTTATAGATCTTCTTCTGTCTGTCTGTAGGAGTGGGGAGGATGTGGTTTTCAGGGAGGACAGAAGCAGAATCTGAAAATGCATGAGTGCACTGCATGGAGGAGCTGCGCTGAGGTGTGCGTGGGTCGGGTGCAGATTCGAGTGTCTGGCCTTAGGAGTCACAATGGTGTGTGAGTGTCAGAGCCGGAAGAGTGTCTAGAGGTGGTTTGAGCCAGTTCTTCCTCACAGGCAACAGCTCCAAGCCTGGCAGGAGAAGGGCTTTGGTGACAGAGCCAGGACCAGCCCTCAGGACCCTGGCCTCCTGGTCCTTAGTTCTTCCACTCCTCCTCACCATTTCCAAGTGGCTGTCTCTGAGTGTATGGCGTGTGGTGTGAGTGTGAAGTTATGCCCAGGATGGGAGGGTGTCTTTGTAGCACTGTCTTAGCTCAAAGCTAACGGATCCTCTCCACAGACAATGACACTTTAAAGGTTGCCTTTTTTTTTTTTTTTTTTTAAACTATATCTTAGTTTTTTCCATTTGTGTTTCTTGACCCCTTGGGCTCTTGGGTCTACGGCTGCCTCCAGGTGGTCTTACCCTGAGACTGATGGGTACTCCAAAGCCCAAAGCGTCCTTCCCTGCCCACTCCTGAGTTCTAGGGACGAACTCACTTGGGGACTCTGGTGGGATGCAGGAAAGGCCTAGCCACCACGAGAGGGGGAGCCAGAAGCAAGACCAGCTCTGAAAAAGGGTAGCATCTTCCCCAAACTGGAAATACACATTTTTCAAAGGTCCAGAGCCCCTCTCTTCACAGCTTCAAGCGTATTTCTTGGGGAGGGGGTAGGCAGGGGAGAAGGCAGAGTTAGAGGTAAGGCGCTTGTTCTGGATTTTTCATCCCAAACTTATTGGGATGAGGTGCCTGAAGGAATGGAGGTAACTTCCATTGGGAATTTGAAGGAAAAGGGAGACCACAAGCCACAGCCATTTGGAGTAAAGTGTGTCTAGCTCCTAGCCACTTTGTCTTGATCTACTGCAAAGTCAGGAACAGGATGGCGCCCCCATTCCCATTTGCTTACTTTTTCCTTTCCTCCAGTCCAACTTGGGTCTTGGATGGTGATACTGGGGCCCTGTCTCCTGGGTCTCAGCCCTAGCCCCCTCCCTTACCACTCCAGCCTGTCTAGATGTAGCAGCCCCTTCCTGAAGGAGCCCGGAGGGGAAGCCACAGCCACGGATTGCAAACCCAGGGGCTTCTTTTTCATTCCTTCAAAAACCTCCTTTAAATCCTCAGCCCAAAAGGCAATGCCCCATCCCCCATGCCACCTCCAAGCCTGGAATTGTGCATAACCCGGATCTTGTATCTTTGTATAACGGATGTTATTTGTACGAAGGGCAAATCGTAAAAAGCACTTGTTCTTTTAATAAAAGAATGTTTTACAAAAAACAAAAACAAAAAATCCTGAGAGATTCTGCTTTGTTTGGCTTCACTGAAGGGAAGAGGAAGTAGGGTGCCAATTGTGGGAGCTTCCAGAGGGAATGGGTGAGGGTTTGATCAAGGACCTTTCAAACCAGAGTTCAAGAAATAAATACTTGATTTGCATATTGAAAATGCAGGTACTGAGCCCCACCCACAGGAGTGTAAACTGTTGATCCAGCGATCTGGGCTCCTCAGGTTGTGGAATGTACCTGAAATCAATATTTTAGACACATTACACAGTTGATGCTCTGTGCTGGCCGTTCCGCAGACACACCAGGGCCAGAGGGGGCGTCAGGCGTGCTCCCTAACACACCTCGGAGACCGCTAGGAGGCTGCTGCGTGATAGGTACTGCCGCTCGGTTTCCGGCGGCTGGGGCTGGGCCGAACCCGCAGAGCCGGGCGGTGTCTTCCGGGCCGAGGCGGAGCCCAGTGGCAGGAGGCGGAGGGAAGTGGGAAGGTGACCCGGCGCGGGGCAGCGCGGAGGCGGAGTCGGTCCGGTGTGGCGTGGCGGACTAGTCATGGGAGGTCTGGGGACGACCCTGCGGCAGACAGTGAACGGATCCGGGGTAAGCACCGACTTCGGGCATGGCGTCCTGGTCCCGGCTGCCTGGTCCTTTGCAGCGGTTTCACGAGCGGGCTACTGCGTGCCAGGACCTCCTCACCAAGTCTCTGTCTGCTCGTTGCCCCTCTTCCGTACCATCTTACCTCCTTGCACCCTTCTAGCCCCGCCTCCCTTCCCTTCCAGTTTTCCTCCGCCTCCCGTTTCCATTGATTTTGTTTTTCTGTTTGTAATCCACCGTCTGGTCTCGTGATGCTCCTGCCAACCTCTCAAAAGCTGACCCAGAGGCGGGACATCTCCTGGCTGGTAAGTACCTCCAGCCTCCACTAGTCTTCAAGTCCCCAGGCCCAGAGACTTAAAAAGTAGACACTTGGGAATAGGACTGAGAAAGGGTACAGCCCTGCAGCCTGCATTCACCCTTCCTAAATCCTGCTGAGTTTCACTTCCTGTAGCCACCATTGCTCTAGAAGGTGGACTGGACCAGAGGCATCCAATAAGGAGCCAATAGCAGTGCTTGAGAAAGCAAGCTCCAAGTGAGGTTGGCCCTGCCTAAGGGCTTGGGGGATCCCAGCCCTAACCACTGGAGAACCCTGGGAAGGCGCCAGGATTTGGAAGGAAGGCAGGGCAGCTAGATCCCTAAGTGCCTGCAGGTCCTTCTGGTGCCCTGGGGAACTGCCCCTGCATTAGATCAGCCTCCTGATGAAGCCTGGCCCAGGTCAGGGCCTATGGAAAACTGGAAAAGAGCAGACAGGAATGGGCTCCCAGGGCTTGGTTTCACCTCACAAGACCTCTTTCCCTTTCCACAGAACCAGTGGTTCTCCAAAGCTCCAGCCAAGCCTGTGGTGGCCCAGAAAACACCCATCAAGGTAGAGCTGGTTGCTGGGACCACATATAAGTGGTGTGTGTGTGGTCGGAGCAAAAATCAGGTGAGAGGCCCTGACATTACCACACCACACACATCCCAACACCTTATGACATCCGACATCCTCTGGTAGGACACAGCATGATTACTTCCCGAGGTCTCTTGTCCAAGATATTTCTCTTTTCTTTTTCACACATATCTTTTCAAGACCAACAAGGAAGGGAGAGTTGAGGTGAAAAAATGTTCTCAGGCCAACTTGAGCTTATCTCTGTATCAACCCTTTGAAGCAAAACCAGAGAATGATACTAGACACACAGCCAGACTGGTTGGACCCAAGCTCTGGATCCATCCCCTAGTGTTTCCCCTTGGTAGAGGCACACTACTGGTCTCCCAGCTCTCTCTCCAGCTTTCTTCCAAGAAGCTTCCGGGCCTAATCCTAACATTGGCAAGGCCAACCTCACTAGGGGCTTACTCTCTGCAGGCCCTCTCCTACTTCCCAGTTTCCCCAACTTCCCTCTTCTAGAAAACTCTTTCCCTTTCTCAGTTTCTGTGATTCTTTCCTGGTTGTCTGCTGCAGTCTGGCAGGAGCCTTTGCTCCCAGTAGGAATCTTCCCCATTTTCTTTGTTTCCCAAGCCCCTTTCCTTCCTGAGCTGACCTCTGAACTGTGCGCTTCCAAGTGGTATGTATGGTACCAGCAATCCGGAGTCCTGTGTCTCTACTTTGTCACTGATTTGCTGTGGACTTTGAGCATGTTCTCATGAGGGTAGGCGGAACTGAGGGTCCCAACCCAGAGGAGTCTGAGCCATCATAGGGAGCACTCGGCCTCATGTCCTGTCAGACAGGGTGTTGGATTCTGTCGAACATTTCTTACCTCTCTTGCTTCCTCTCCTCCTACCCCACCCTGACTAGCAGTCAAGAAATCTTGGCTCCAACTCTACCATTAACTGGCAAGTCACATCACTTCTTTGGGCCTGAGTTTCTATCATCTAGTCTCTGCCTAAGCAGCTTCAGGGATGGACAAGTCACTTCTTCCTGCACCAGGCAGCCCATTTGCTCTGGGATATTCCCTCCCCTTCCTCCTGTTAACACCCACTCCCTAAGGTTCAGGTGTCTCCTGGAGCCAAACAGCAAGGATGCCAGTCTCAAAGCATCAGGCATGTGGGCTCTTTCCAAACCAGAGACATTTTCACTCCCAAAAATATGGGGAAGGGAAGGGATTTCATGAACCAATGGTGACTGTGAACCATTTAAAACACCTATAACCACCTATTTATGTAAACACTGCAGACTTTATAAAAACTCATGCCCTGAGCACTTACTTATGTGAAAGCACTTAATGACCTTTATTCATTTTTATCTCCTCCTGACAACTCTTATTCCCTCACATTAGATTAGAATGAGAAGGGTCAATCAGTTGGTCAAAGTGAACCCAGATAATCTGTCTCTAGATCCAATGCTTTGCCTTCCCCTTTACCCCACCCTGGCTGGTATGGTAGTAGGGTCTGAGGTCTAATTCCTCTTTTCTTCCACCAGCCCTTCTGTGATGGCTCTCACTTCTTCCAACGCACTGGCCTATCCCCACTCAAGTTCAAGGTCCAGGAGACCCGAACAGTAGCACTCTGTACCTGTAAGGCCACTCAGAGACCCCCATACTGTGACGGCACCCACAGGAGTGAGCAGATACAGAAGGCAGAAGTGGGCTCCTCACTTTGAAGGGGTGGCAGCTGCTCAGCCCCAGGAGGCCTTGGTTCCAGGCCTGACAGGTGCCCCCTATGGGAGGCAGAAAACGAAGTTTTCCCAACAAGGGATCATCCAGGAGCCTTGGTATCCACACCTGGACCCCATAACCTGGGCTCTCTAGTCTTGGAGTAGCTGGAAGCAAGCCCCTGGGTTCAGAGCCTGTTGGTGGAGATGACATTAAAAAGCATATTCCATCCAGAGCAGTGTTCTTGTGGTCACTGATGTGATACACCTGCCCCAGCCCTATTCCAGATTTTAACCTGTGTGTGGGCTGAGGGCATTAGACCAGCCTCAGCCAGAGGGCAGTTCTGATCATTCCATATGGGATTTCCCCAAGACGGGACTGGGCCCAGAGACTTTTAAAAGGCATGTTGAGGTTGTCAGGGGACCCACCAATGTCTCTCCCTCCCCTTCTTACCCAAAGAATTCCAGGCTAGGCGAGTATGCAGCATTTATTACAAAACCAAGAGCTACAAATGTCCCAGGGCAGGATGAGGGCACAGTTACAAGACAAGGTGCAAACACAGACAAACCCCCTGGGGGCTCCCAACCTCACACACCTAGGTTGTGATAGACTCTAGAGGTTTCCCTCCTCAACTTCCCAATCTATGTACATTTGAGGAAAAACAGGTGGGCATGTGTCTGTTAGGGTCTGTCCCTCAGGGGCCCAGGTGACTCCTCAGGGATGGAGTCAGCTCACAGGTTTCTGTCATGTGCTTTCAGTACCCGGCTCCTGACTCTGCCTCAGCTAGGGAGGGGGAGGAGGAAGGGCTGGAGGGCTCTGTGCTTGTCTGAGGTTAACCCCTACCCACCCTCTGTCCAGGCTTTGGGTGAGACCTCACCACCCACCTTGTTGGCGAGGGCTCCTGGGGGAAGGGGATGAAGTTGTTCACAATACTAAAGCCACAGTGGAATTTCAAGGGTTGAGGCCTCCTGTGGTTTAAATCTCTTCCACAAGATAAATGATGCAAAGGCCCCACACAGAGAAAGGAAAGGAAAGGCAGAACTATCTATTCTTTGCACAAGGTTTCCACTGCAAGAGGAAGAGGAGGCCACCTGTTCCTCAGAACCAGGGGGTAAACTGCGTTTGTAAAAGGCACTGTCTTAGCAAGTCTCTGGACATTCAACAATGGAGGGAGGGGCATAGTGGTCGGGGGCAGGACAGCAGCCAAGATGGGTAGAGAAACGGGATGGACTTCTATACACACCCAGGTAGAGTTGTGCCTAAAGCTTTGGAGGCTGATGGGGTCCCCAATACCCCATCTACCTTGGGGAACAGAAGGAGGATGGGACAGGCCTTTATTGAGCCTCAAGTAGCCCCTCCTCCTGCCCAACTCCAGGCACCCCAAAAAAGAGAGCAAATTACACAAGATCCCTATAAATGAACACCCCGTCCCACATACATACACACATAAAGTTTTGTTTCTTGTGGCATTTAAATTAATCTGGCTGGTCCATAGAAAATAAGTATGTATATTTGTTTTTTCCTATGTACATATATATATAGATTTATTTATAAAACCCACCACCTACCACTAAGGTGGGAGGAGCTGGGGAAATAAGAAGAGGTGGAAAAAAGGGCCCAGAAAAAGTGGAGGGGTGGAGAGGCATGGCTGGAAAAGGAGCCAGAGGGTCCTTTTCCTCAAGTTAATGGGGGCACAGGAGCTCCATTGACCGTCATCTTGCGCCCCCTGCTGGTTGACGATGGTGTCTGCAGGCAGTTCGAGGTGCCCCCATTGGCAGCTGTGGAGGCCCCAGTGGCTGTCGAAGGGGGTGTGGGGGAAGTAGGGTGGGTGGCTGGGGGCCCATGGGAGCTGGGAGAACCATGGGAGGGGGTGACTGGGCTGGGCAGGGAAGAGGAGGTGGCTGGTAGGGTGGCAGGGCTGGGAGCCTTGTCGCTGACTGACTCACACTCGGAAGCCCCGCTGGTGTTAGTGCCCTCTGAGGGGGTGGGCGCTGTGGGCAAGGTGAGCCGCTTGCAGGCTGGCTGGACACGGTACTTGAGGGGGAGGGGGCCATTCTGCAGAGATGAAGTGGGAAGAGAGACAAGAGACGGGGCAGTGTCAGGAGGAAGAGCTAACCACAAGTAACCCAGCTTCAACCCACAGTTGCCCAAAGGAGAACAAAGGAAAGGTCCAGAACCTTGAAAAGCAGAGACTCACTCGGCAGTGAAACGACAGACAAAAGAGGACCAGAGATACAGAAGGGCATGTGAGACCACCAAGACATGGAGACTTGGAGAAAACCACAAAGAGGGAGGCAGAAGGAAAAAGATGTGAACTTTTTACGGTAACAAAGACAGAGAGCTAAAGTGAGGAAGGCAGAAGAGCAGACAGTCAGAGAGTCACGTTTGCTCCTCCACAGCCCCCAAACCAGGACACATGCCAAAGGGACCTTTACTCCAGACTGTGAGGTGATGTGGGAGAGAGCCAAGAAGCAGGCCACCCCTAGCTCATGGGGGCAAGAGATGGAGTGTCTGTGATTACAGCAGGTTACCTGTAGCCACAGACCAATGCCAGATCCTTCCCTTTAGTCCCCACCCAGCCTGGCTCACCCGCCGCCAAGGGTAGATGTAGGCAATATCCATGAGGGTGTAGTATTCCTTTAGTGGCTCGTCCTCGTAGAGAACCTCCACCTGGCAGAGGGAAGGGAAGGATACCATGACCCTGGCCAGGGCCTGAGCTTGGCCATTTGGTAAAAAGGCTCCACGGTGTGTCTTGGGGGCTGGTGGGAGCAATAGGAAGGATGAAATGGCAGGAGGCCCCTCATTACTCTGGGGTTTCACTGTGGACTTGACTTCTTTATCAGAGTTGTCCCACCAAGTGGGCAGGAATTCACATTGTTAACAGCTCTGCCAAGTCAGAGTGGTTTGGTTGGCAGCGTCCCAGAGGAACTAGTGGGCAAAGCAAAGGCCCCAGGTGGTAAGGATCTCCTTCAGCACAGCTTCTCACCTCCAGCTGCTGTTGGAACCACCCAGTGGTGTCCCCAGGAGGTACTGAAAACAAATACTAATGCTTGGCTCTCACTCCCTCAGCTTCTGATTGCACTGGGATGGTGTGAGGACTGGGCATTGGAGTCTTAAAGCTCCCCCTGCGACTCTAATAATGCAGCCAAGTTTGGGATCCACTGTCCTCTTAGAGCTCACTACTCAGCGTGTGGCCTGTGGGCCAGCAGCATCGTCCAGCATCACCTGCGAGACTCTCGGCGCCCACCTAAGGCCTTCAAAATCAGAACCTGCATTTTAAAAACAGTCCATGTCCGTTTTCAAGTTTGAAAAGCACTGTGGTGGACCTCCTTCGTAATGTCAAATGGACCTTCCTACAGCCAGCTGGCCTCAGGCCCCATGGTTTTGTGCACACCATGTGTCACAGTTCCAAGTGTGCGTGCACACAGATCACACCCCATGGGCTTTATGCACCTTTGAATACTGACTTCAGCTGTCACCGATGGCCCCACCATAGTCTTGGTGCCATCCTGCCGGGGCTTGGAGTCCTGGTGTGGAGCTGTAGGCTACGCACTGGACTGTCAACCACAGGGTCAGTGATTCAAACCCACCAGCCTCTCCTCGGAAACCCTGTACAGGGTCATTATGAGTCGGAACTGACTTGATAGCATTTTAACAACTGCATGGGCTTAACTGTAATCCATGCAAGCCCTTAGTGACACCAGCCAGCCCTCAACCAAGGCTGGGCTGCATGAACTGTCGGGCACTTACTTTCTAAAAGGACCTGGAGGTCTGCAACTTACCTTGTACTTGCTGGGCACGTCCATCTTGTTGCGGAGAAACTTGGCGAGATGCATGACTGTCATGGCCGCTGGACACCGCAGGAAACGCACTCCTGTCTGCTGAGGGCAGAGGCACCCATGGGAGCTTCCACCCTGGGCCGCTCTCGCCCAGCTCACACCCTACTCCTGGCAGGCCCAGCACTCACCTTCTCTTTGTCCCCATCCCCATTCTCCAAGGGGCCCTTCTTCTCCTCCCGGTCCCTGTGGGGAAAAGGAATAAAAAGGTAAGGAGGTCCCAGAGCAGGCAGGATGCCCCTAAATCTACATACCCTGAGGGTCTTCCCAAAGGCACCCCTTGTTCCCAGAGGAATGGAGCCAGGGTGGAAGAGGTAGGTGACCCAGTCTGGTAGCCCAATGGGACCAGCTCTGGGCCAGACTTGCCTGACCCCCTCATAGAATTCGATGGAGAGACTGACGATCTCATCGTCGCTCAGGGTCCCTTTCTCCTGTACCAAGACCTCGCCGCGGTCCTCATTGGAGCCATTGGGAACTGCAGAAGGACAGAGCTCTGAGGAGCTGGCTAGAGGTCATGTAGCTCAGCAGGGTGGGCTGGCACTTTGGAGTGGGAAGGTGGTGTGGTGGAGTCAGAAGGTGAGTAGGGGGTGGGCCGCTGTGGCTGGTGGAGTGTTTGGCCGGCCACAGGCCCACACTCAGCCCCAGGCCTCTGAACATACTCACCCTCGGTCAGGGGGTAAGCTGCGTAGAAATCCCGACGCCGTTTCATTTCATCTGGAAGAGGGCAGCAGGGTGAGGAGAAGATGGCAGACTAGGAAATGGGGGAGGGAGAAGGGAAAAGGGTAGCTGATACCTTTAAAAAGCCCAGGGACCAACTTGTAGACGATGTCTTGGAGGGTTTTGTCAGATCTGGAAAAAAATGTACAGGGGTCAGTCCTCAGATGTCCCCACCCTCAAGAGTCCCCCTCCCTCCCTGAGATCCAACGGTCAGGCATTTGGGCCCCGTAGGTCTGTCTTTACCCCTCAGGTATTTCTCAGCTCAGAGGGACGGAAGGGGCCCAGATCTATGCCCAGTGCTTCTCCCACACCAGTTGCCTTGGCTACGGGATTCAAGGAGAGATGAGGGATCTGGGGGAAGTTGATGAGGGAAGCACCCAGGGGCACCCAGAGGTTGGCACAGACAGGAGGGGCAGTGCCGCCCACCTGATGCTCAGCAGGGGTCTGGTTTTGTG